TTGCTCGTTGAGGTGGAACAGGTACGTCACAATCAGCGGGCCGTGGGTCATGACTTGGAACCTGTGGTGGAGACGGCGGATCAGATACCAGAGCCTAGAGATCGACCCAACATGCGTCAGGACAGAAAACATTGCGAACTACGTCAACATTGCTTCCACATTCGCCTGTGTCGATGTGTCGATGTGCCGATACTGGTACTCTTGTTCCTCCTTGAGATGGTCTTTGGCTAACATGGGGTAATGGTAATTGATCCTTGTTAAGGCGGGTACTTCGATCTGTGCAGTGTAGTTGGCGTATCCGTATGAGATCAAAAAGCTGGACCAGTGTTTTTGGGTCGACGATTGGATACTTGATGTCAACGTAGCTTTGAGGGTGAGGTAGAACATTCGCCCTCGTGCAGCCTACATCAAGATGAAAATAGATAAAGCTAGCATCCTGGCGTTGACGTAGGCTCCAGGGTGTTCAGGTTTTCCTAGGATGAGGTGCCACGACAAGGTACGCGAAGTGGATCAAACATGGAAGGCAAAGCTGGTTTTGAATGAGCGTGGGGTATGCTGACTACAAGTAACAAGAGCTTCGTGATGCATGCATGCCAGATTCGTGCAACGAATCTGCTAAAGCAAATGTGAAACGGCCTGCCCATCTCATGCAAGAAAACCCTGAACAGGTTTGCAGACTACATCAAGACAAAAACGTGCAAAGTGGTTGACCCAACGTCAACATAGGCTCCTGAGTGTTCATCATTTTACTGGGTTGGCGTATGGCTGCCATCTTCAATCCCAAAGGGGAGTATCTATCACTTCTTTGCCGTAACGTTGATGCGTAGATATGTCTCAGTCAATGTCACGAGATATGGCAAGTCCCAGAACTCAATCACGCATGTGAAGAAAGAGCAGAGTTTGATGACAGGATATTTTATAGACTTGATCTAAAGGTAAAGACAGGAAGTGGAATCAAACGATCGCCGAATCAAATCCGCCCAGAGCTATCCTATCATCGCCCAGATGTGCCGCAGCAGAAGTCTTGCGAAGTCCGAGAACTATTGCAGGACCACGCTTTATAGAAGAGTGAGTGCTGCTGCCGACCTAATATCAAACGGAGTGTTCAAGATCCCAGAGTTGCCTCTCCTTTTGGAACTTGCCCAGACAGATCATAGTGTCATCGAAGAGTGGTATATTGCACATTCCAACGGTGTTGAACCGTTCGAACTCTTCTTTCGTCATACCCGCGGACTTTGAAACGAATCCTCGGTCCATTTGGGCAACCGCGTTGGCCGTTGTCATGCAGTTGCGAAGAGTATTAGAGGTCATGACAGGGGTGTGCCGGTTGTTGACAGGGGGCCACTCTCCCATGAGCTTCTTATGGTCCTTGAGACAATCTTCATGGCAGCTCCTGTACGCTACGTTGCATTGGAAAAATCGGACGTCGGTCAAAGTAGTGTTGCCAATGGCTGATTGGATCGATATGGGCGTAGGGTCCGAGGCGTGGTCATCAGCGCAATTACCCAAGCACGTGCTGTAGGTATACTCGTTGTATAGGTCGCCAGGGTACCGGTCTTTTTGAGCGGCGAAGGTTGAGGCTTCGAGTGCGTGCAAGGCGGCTTCTTCGTCCCCATTGGAGTTCTGACGGGCAGCCTTACTCGAGTTAGTACGGGTATGACTTGTGGCTCAGTAAGGAAGACTAACGAGACCGGCGGGAGACGCAGTGAAGGTTGTGGGCTCGGATGCCAGAATAGGCTCCGGCTGTGAGGTGAGAGTTAGTCTAAGATCACGGAAGATGGTAGACTTCCTACCTTGGCAATGGTCGAAGTAGTAGGAGCACGAGGTATCATGGCTGTTCTAGCCATGAGGCAGCCATATGCCAACCAGAAGTAGCTTAAGGCTATCATAGTTGTTCGTTGAGAGTGACAATGATGTGATAGCTGGAAATGCCAGGCGAGATGGGGTGAGACAGGTGGATTGAGTGGAGTGAGTGGAGTGAAGATGGTGTGCTGGACCTGTCTACAGGCGTGTCGCGCTCGTTTTATAACAATCTGCAGCCCCGTAACGCAGTTCTGTCTTAAAGACCCTTGAATTAGTTGAGCACCTCGGGTCGGTCCCCTCCTGGCTCTTGCGGTAATGTTTCGATCGATTTACACCCTCTATTTCCCCCCTTTTCCGTTGTCCGGGTATACGCCAGCCATTGGATGTAGCCACGTTGTTGGCTTACTGTTGACTCCCAGCTCAACGACTTCGGTCTTCTACGATCCAGGGCAAGCAACTCCGCACCCTTAGATCATGATGACTGGTGCTACAGTATTTTACGACAATGAAGTACCCCAGGGTCGCTTGTCCTTGTCATTCGAAGATCATAGACCACCATATCCGTGACACCCGAAGCAAGCAAAGCCGAATCACAGCGTAATACAGTGGCGGGCCGGTCGGCTTGTGAATGCGCAGCAAGATGGTTCGGATAAGTGTGTTCATCGGAATCTGCGTCGACGGGTAGGCACGTTACTGCAACACCACCCACTCTTGTATCGTGAAGGGCCGGAAGTTCATTGTTTCCAACTACCTGGGCAGGTAGGCTTGGCGATCGATACCGAAAATTCCGGGATTTTCTTGTGGTTTATCAACACGCAGTATACCGCCGACTAGAGAGTAATGGAGTCCTTTCGTATCAGCGGGAGTAAGAGCACGTCAGCCTAGGGAAACCGAACCAGGTTTGCAGCCTACATCGACATAGAAAGACGCAAAGGAGGTGATCCAACGTGAATGTAGGCTCCAGGCCTATTCAGTTTTTCGTTCTTGCGTAAGGTGACAGGGCCATTAGCGATTAATATAGCATCTCGCCAGCGCTATATCTCTGTAGTTAAGTTTAATTACTTTAAGAAGAAACTAATATTCTAGTAGTATAATTTTAAGAGTCTACTAAGTAGTTACTTAGAACTAAACTCTCTTACTATTATAATAGTTATTAAAGTTTCTTAAACTAGTAAGTATAATAGCTTTATAGCTATTTTTAATTAGCTTAAAAGTATAGAGAAAGTATAGTAAAAAAAGCTTAATTTATAAGTATAGCTTTATAGTTTTAATACTATTTTTTAATAAAATAATAGGCTTATAAGTATAGTTTAGAAAAGTAAAGTATACGCTAATATAAAAGTAACTATTAAAAGTAGCTATTTTAAATTTTTAGAGTTAGTAAGAGTAGTATAATAAAATAAAATACTAACTTAAAGTTCTAAGTAATAAAGTATAAGAAAAAAAAGTAAAAATTAGAATAGTAGTATTTTAATATAAAGTATATTTATAAACTCTTCTCTTACTACTATAACTAAATTTTATAGCTTTAGTTATATCTTTAAACTTAAAAAAGCTTATAAAGTTTTATAGTTCTTATTATAAAGGTATTTTTTAGTAATTTAATAATTTTTTTATTTATAGCTTATCTTTAGGCTAAAAAGCCTAAGACTATTAGTTAAGCTTTTTATAACTTATAAGTAAGTAGAGAGCCTATTTTTTTATAAATTTACTTATAAGAGAAAGCGTTTAAGCTAGAAATATTTATGTATTTAATAGAATTTAAGGTGACAGGGCAACAGCCTAGGATGCAAGCGCTGTTTCTTGTTGGTTGTTCGTCGTTGGTAAGTCGAGTAATCGCGAATGAGGTCATCGATGGAATGCCAAGTGCCAAGAGTGGGCCGTTCCCGAATCTTCCGCGACATTTGACACTGCATCCACAACATCAATCCGGCACCTCCAAGACTTCATTACCGAAACACAATCTCCCAATAAGTGGGCTTACCCGGAATTCGGCTCTTCGCTGGCGGTACTAGAAACCACATCAGTCAACGCGATGACATCCATATGGTTGCCGGTTACTACGTCAACACTTCCAAGACCGCTGCGCATGTACAACGCTGCATCATCATTCTTATCTTGTGAGTGATGAAGGTATGTTATGGCATTATCGGTCTCGAATAGAATCAGATGCTTCCGCATACCCGAGCTCCGCGGTATACTGTGAATGGATGTCTTTCCCGAGAACTGACGCAAAACCCTGGATCAGCTCTTCGACACTGCGTTCGAGACCGCATGCAGGTACTCAGGGTTTCAACAACTTGGAAAGCTAACCTACCTAGGCATGCCGAGAAACGGGCACCCAACCGACATTGGGATCAGTATCTACCCTGTAATCCAAGGTCTGACGAGCTGATCACATTGCCGTCCAAGTTGTGCCAGTCACATCAATGTCTATTGAAGACTGTTGAGCCTCATCGTGGAGAGCAACGGCGTTTTATTCGCACAGAGACATAGGTGGGACATACATCAATACTCTGTCTGCGACCAGCGTGTTTGAAACGCAAGGATCAGTCGGGAAGCTACATCATCATTGAATATGTCAATTCTCGTGTTACTAGACCGATGTATCCCTTTCTATGCATCTTGTTCTCGTACTATGAGCTTGTGACTAGTCACTGGTATTCACAGCTTGCACGCATATCTCCGACACATCATCGCTGACCGTCATCGATTCGAATCGTTGTTCATAATACGCATGGGCAATATCGAGCCTACCTCACTCGCCTGCACAAGAGACATCCACGATGCGAGTTCTCCGCGAGATATGTAGCGCTTTCTTATTCTTCAGGACTGCTGTTGGGTCTCCAACCTTAGGCTCCATGGCGTCGCTGAATAGTAGCTTAACGAATGTCACCTCAGAACCGCCAGAAGATCGCCGTGGGCTTGACTGTTTCAACAACCCTTATTGCAATTATACGGACGAGTCCCTTCCAAGCTGGCATATGGATTGCGATTTTCCGAGAATCAACGTACGCGTGTGGAAGGAGAATCGTGTCGAAGATTCACTGTGGCTGAACCATAAGTTCATGGACTACTTATCGTTGCGAAAGAACGAGCAAGGTATAGCCACAGATGAGGAGACGTTTCCCGCATACATGCTCAAGCGTTATGCCCCGAATGCGGCCCCTAGCAGCATGCTCTGCGATGGACTGGGAATGTGCAGGGTAAGTCTCTTTAAGCTTGTTTGCAATGAGCTTCGCTAACGAAATCGATAGGCTCCGAGCTGCAAAGATATCGGACAAAAGCACGATAAAGTCACGAAGCGCCGAGCTATGATGTTCTTCGAATTCGTATCCGGTCTCGACCATTCCTTCCACATCATGAGCGAAGCGACGCAGGACAACTGGCGCCACATCCTTGAGGACATCGAAAATCTTGTCAAGATGTTCACGTACGCCGATGAGCAGCAGGATGCAGCGGCCAAGAAGGAAGCCAAGAAGCAGAGACGCATAGCACAGATGGAACTGGCCTTTGGTATCATCACAGCAGTTTTCGGGTTACTTGGTGCAGGCATGAACGTTCTGAATTATGAGACCACCAACACTGCGAACGTCCTGAATCGCTTCCTTTGGGGGCAGAGGTCGGCGTCATTTTGGCAGCGCTCGGTGAATACATTCACTACATTGGCACGCAACAACGGCCGACTGAGTACCTGGAGAGCGCCTCAGAAACTCTTTAACGGCGAACTCATAGGACCCTTGCAGAGTATGTAACAGCATCGCCATGATCCTTATATATGCTAAAACCTCACAGAGCAATGGACTATCGCCAGCGCGGCCTATCTAGGCTTGCAAGGTCTAACGAAGGAGGTCGTCAAAGAGATCAATCACAAGAAGGACATGTGAGATGAACACCACAGCTTGTGGATATCACGATACTAACGTTGAACAGTAAAGGTTTTGAGAAGACTCTCAGCGCGGTAGAAGGCGAGCTGGCGCTACTCGACACTTCCGCTACCGAAGAGGCGCAGAATGCGATGCAAATCATCACCACAGGCGGTACCACTCGAGACGGACACAATATAGTGCACCTGTACAGGTCCTTGTTCTTCTATGGTTCAAATGTTGGATTCCGAGCATGGGCATCTTTCATGATCGAGATGAGATCCTACGCAACGATCGTGAACGCTTTATGGTACGTTGGCCAGTGATCTTGAGGAGCAAATTCTGACAGTGTGCAGGAAGACAGAAGGCGTATACATCGTCGAGTCTTTGGTTAAAAGCGGGGACTGCGACAGCGACGACCGCGGGCCAGCAGACCTCAAAGTCTGCCTGCTCGAACGGCCCGAACGATCATACTGGGTTTATGCCATCTCAAACTACGACGACAAGAAGTTACGGGCCCCTCCAGGGTTGGAATACCTCAACACAACGCACCCATTCCACGGGATCTGGCTCCAAGACGTCGTCCGATCTTCCCTTTGGTGGGTTGAAGTACACAGACCTAGCTCATTGCAACCGGAGTGGGTGCATGACGCATCGTCATCATCTGATTCTGACACCGACACCGACTCTGACTCTGACTTTGACGAGTACGCTATTCCAGCCATCAACATCACTTCCTCTGCCGGAAATACCACGTACCTTGACGACTACGGGAATGTGCCAGGCACGTTTCGCATACCCATCTGCCACAGCTGGAACGGTGAGGCCATCTCGAGTATCAAGAGCAAGCACAAGGTCAACGGACCCTGTCTCTGCGATGCCATGAACCCACAGGTGGGAAGCTTCTGGGAACAAGCAAACAATTGGACTACGGCAGCCACGAAGTTCTTTGTGAAAGAAGGTGGCTTCTTCAACTTCAACAACTATGGGAAGATCTGTGGGGGCAAATGTGACCACGTGGGTAGCTGGGCGTCTCTACTAGGTCTTGGCAAAGACGACAAGCCAGCAAAGCACATGAAGAAGGCTTGGGGCCGCCATTGTCATGCCAAGGGGTGGAAGCACTGGCCACTGGGACCGGCACAGTTGGTAGACCCAGATTCTACAACCTCATCGAGCGCACCAGCGGCTTCGGGTACGCCTGACGACCCAGACGTAGCCCCAGAGCCGCCGTTTCAACCGACCCCCACCCGAGATCCTATCGTCCAAGCTACGACCCAGCTGCTCACCCACGAGACACGCTACCCGAAGAACACCCCGAAGAACATAACGCGACAAGGTGACTGCAATGGGCCATACTGTATCGTCGACGCCGTCTACCAGATCACAGAGCAACACTACGAATACACAGTCGACGCTTCAGTGCGACCCAACGACCAAGGTTGCTTCCTTGGCGACCTGTGGTGTTTTGAGCAATCCGCCCACGACCTCTGCGAACAGTTCGACGACGAAGATGAGATGGCAGCCGAAGCCGAAGCCGAAGCGAATGGAGAAGAGGAAGAGGAGGTCGGCTCAGACGAGGACGAGTACGCGGACTTTATCCAAGACGACGAGACTCCCGATGGCGACGGCACTCCTGGTGGCAACAGCACTTCCGACGGCACCAACGATCCCGAACGTACCGCCACTCCAAACGGCGATAAGAATGCAAACGACCCGAAGAAGGACCCTGCATCCGAGAAGACCGAAGGCGAGAAGGCGCTTGAAGCAGAGACCGACTTGGCAAACAGACGAGCGGCGTGTTTCTGCCCTGGAGTCAACGGTACAGAGGGTCAACCCGGTATCAACTGCTCTGCCGGCAAGATCACCACGAAGACTACCACTATCAAAGGCCGCATGAAGCAAACAGTCACCCCCTTGAAGCCTTTCTCCAGCAAACCGACGTCTTCCGGGGGAGCTGGTGGAGCTGCAGGTAAAGCTGCAAGCGGAAGCGGAAGTGTAGTATACCACTGGAATACCGTCACCGTGGAGGCCAAGCGAGATGTACTGGCTGAAGTGTTGAGTCTGGCTACGCCTACGGGGGTACCGAGTCTTGCTACGCCCATGGAGGTACCGAGTCTGACAACGCCTGCGGTGGCGCCCGTGTTTCTGACCGGTAGCTTCTCCTCATTCGCTGCGTTCACGACACTGGGCATGGCCTGAGGCACCCCATTCGAGGGAAAAGCTGAACACCCTGGAGCCTACATTGACGCTACGCCTCTACATTTGCTCATCGTTGGTCTAATGTAGGCTTCAGGCCTGTTCAATTTTTCTTTGTATGAGGTGGAGGTTGGCGTTCGGGGTGCCTGGTCTCGGTGGCTTTGGTTGCGGCGTTGTTCTTTCATCGGTACTCTATAGTTCTCTGTTAATGGGGAGAGCTTGAGTATACTGCTTTTGCGCGTGGTTAGGAGTACCGGACGGGGAAGGAGTTTGGGTTTGCCAACCTACTCTTGATACCCCAATGAATCGAGTTCATATTATATACTCATGAGCTTCATGCTGGTCGTGACCGTCGTGATATCCGAAACACATTGCTTGGAAGACAAAGTGGAGATGAAGTGTTGGTGTATATCAAACTCATCGTTATGCCATGCCATGCCATGCCATACCATGCCATGCAATAGAATAAAATATGAAACGCCCCAGCACTTGGCGACGTTTGATCCAAACAACCGGAAAAGAAGAAGAGATGAGACCTTTGACCAGCAAAAGGGCTGAGCGCGAAAAGTAGCAAAATGGAAGAAAGTAGAGGGTATCATCGCTGTCGTGTGTGCGCGGGGTGAGGAAATGGGAAAAGACATTACCCAGAAAGATGCGAACACGCCAAACGCCAGAAATGCCGAGAATAACCAGACGCCGCCAAACTCTCAGATTCGTAGGAGAGAATGGACCGACGCTCAATCGTCCGTAGCATTCATCTTCCCCATCTCCAGCCCAACCTCATCAGTCTTCATCCTCTCCCCATCGGGCCCCCTCCGTCCACCCCCCACAAACCCCCAAAGCCCAATCGCTGCAACACCCCAAGCAACTATCACAAAAGGAACCATAAACGCCCTTCCAGCGATCTCAATCCCACATTGCATGCCATAATCTTCTCTCACCATACCCGCACCTTCAACACCCGCGAGTTCGCAGGCCCAGGTTTCGAGATCAAAGGTACCGAAGTTGTAACGGAAGAAGGCCGGGGATTGCTGGGTGGATGCGGAGGTGGAGGCAGTGTCTTTCATGCGCGAGGCGCGGAAGTTGACGAAGCCTTCGCGGAAGTGGGAGGTGTTTTTGTGGGTTACGTAGATGGAGACGAGGGCGAAGAGGACGAGGATGGCGTTGGTGATGTGGAGGAACATTATGTTGCGACGGAAGGCGTAGGATTGCGTCTGGAGAGGCATTAGTTGGATGTGATATTTCGTCTTCCGTGGGATTAGACGTACCCTGTTGCCTTTTTTCCAATCTGTTGCGACGAATCCGAGATGTGCGGCTGCGAGACATATGCTGACTGTACCGGCGATGATAGCGAGCTTTGCTGGCACTGCGTATAACATCCGAGGTAGAGCGGCCATGATGATGGACTCGCCCGGGTCGCCATTCCTTCTTGTTGTCTGGTATTCAAATCCCGTCATACGATTGTCCTCGACGAAGCTATAGGTTAATGCCTTTAGGGCAATAACCGGGACTGCGATGACGAGTAGTAAAGAGAGTGAGATGCTGTATAGCAGCCTTGCGATGCGGTGGTGCGGACATGAGCTGGTATTGAGCGGCTGGTTGAAGACTGGTGGGTCATCCTCCTTGATCTGTTTGGTGTGGAAGAGCGATGTGACCTTGTCGGCTGCTGGCGGGAGGGTGAATTTGACTTTTGTCATCTTGGCGGTAACCACGTTTCGACCCTTCACGGAAGGACGAAGTGGAGGAAGGCAAGAAGACTACGAGCGGGAGTATTAGACGTTACTTGACTGATGTCAAGGAGACAGAAGATTAACATAACATCTGGTCACCGCCGAGACATCGTCCCAAGAGATGCATGCTTGGATAGTCGCCCGTACCGCATCGACTCTTCCCTATGATTATGATGTCGGCTGAGAGAATATCGGCCTGTCAATGCTATCCTACCGGCATAGGGCTGCTTCGTGGCCGCTGTCAAGGATTCGCTTGAACGGTCCAGTACATTTCCGGCCTGTTGTAGATGAATCGCAATGCAACTGACAGGTGTCAAACGGTCGGTTCATCGTGTATTGGTCGTCATGATGTGCCGCGACGGGAAGTGTGTGAGATGCGCAACGGGCACGCTCCACCCACTGCACCGATGATGGTTCTCACACGTCGCAATAACACCGACTATTATGTGTTAGAGATATCGCTTGGGTATTCGCGTAGTTTTCATGGCGATTGAAGCGGGTGTTGACAATATATCAAAGTCGATAGAGGTTGATCTGTCCATGGGTCGCATGGAACACGCATGGAATACCCAGCACGCTGTGTCGATCCTCCGCATAACGGTTTGCATCGAGAAGACGCGTCCTGTATCTATTATTGTCTATGAGTTCAGTAATCGTCGGGCAGATGAGACGGTACAGCTGTAGGCTATAGTGAGAGGGTCTATGGAGAGTTTCAGTCGAGGGCGACGCTGTGGCGAGCAGACACTTGATGTTGCTGGAGATCGGTAGATTGTGCATTGTGCATGTTGCGCTGCGCGTACAGCATGTGAAAGCAGAGTGGGGAGTCAGCCGTAGATGTGGGAGGTGAAGAGAAGAGTGAGGTGGCAGTGGTGAAGGATGGTGAGCGGCGGTGATGTCAGACCCTGGGCGCTAATTGTCGAGGAGTCGCGATCAGCCGTCGACGCGTCCACGAGACATTTCAACCGACAACAACAATTCCCCACTACAACCCACCATGGCCTTCACAGCGCTCAACAACAAGCCATCGGCACCTATTGTTCCCGTACAAGCGCCTGCAGCACCCGCACCTGCACCTGCACCTGCGCCGGCAGCAGCAACGACGCCCGTACCCCATCCACAGGAAATTGATGTCGCTTTCGCTGGCAATCATGAGCTGCGCAAGCGCGTACACGCCGCGATAGGTATGCGACGCCATTCTCAAAGTTGAATTATGCTAACATTCCCCAAGACCAAAACCCTACTCAAAGTACTCTCTTCCGCGACATTTCGACATACATCCTCAATCAAACCTCGCAGCCCGCCGCTGAGCCAGCGACAAAGAAGCGCAAGATCGAAGAGAGCGTTGCCCCACAGAACGGCGCATCGAAAACAGGAGGCAGTCTCACGAGCACTTCAACGAAAGCGTTCAAGACCTACCCAGCCGTCAGCTTCTCGATACCGCAGCGAAAGAAGTTCACCCTCGAGCTACTCGACAAGAAGGATGGCGGCATAAGAGCCATTGGCGCAAACGGCAACGTCGAATTTGCCATCGCGTGGAAGGACGTCGACCAGGTCTTCTGCCTGCCCATACCCGAGAAGGCGAAGAAACAGCATCATTTTGTCATTATACCAGTGCACGGCGATGGAGTGGCGCCCGTGCCAGAAGAAATGAAGGGCTCACCGCCAGAGCCGATCGTATGGACCTTCGAGGAGGCGACAGGGAAGAACATCGTTGAAGGCGAAGACCCAGGGCCAGCACCCATGGCTGAGGCGATACACCACTGCTTGATACAAGCCGGCACCGGAAAGGGGGTCATCTTCCCCGATGCTGATGAGTTCGCGAGCGCAGTACCAGAAAGCCACAGGAAGGGCGAGAAGGCATATCACGTCAAGGCACATAGGGGAAGCAAGGAGGGTACGCTCTACCCAAACTCACAGCAAAAAGCTCCTGCTAACACACTCCAGGCTATCTCTTCTTCACCTCAGTAGGCATCCTCTACGGCTTCAAAAAGCCCCTCGCCTTCTTCGACTTCGCCTCCATAGAAAGCATATCCTACACCAATGTCCTGCGCAACACCTTCAACGTCGTCTTCACTACGCCCAACTCCGGCGACATCGAATTCAGCATGCTCGACCAAGCAGATTTCGCCGGTATAAACGAATACGTCCAGAAACACGGCTTGCAGGATGCCAGTCTGGCTGCCGATCGACGCGCAAAGAAGCTCAACGTGAACAAGGTGGGCGGCAAGAAAGAGAATGGCGCAGCGGTCGAGGAGGCCGGTGGTGAGGAAGAGGAGAGCGAATTGCAGAAGGCAGAAAGGGAGCTGCAGGATCAGGAGGATGACGAGGAAGAGGATGATGACTTTGATCCTGGGAGTGAGGGCGAGAGCGAAGGCTCGGGGTCTGACAGCGAAGACGAGGATGGTGAGGGTGGTGGATATGAAGAGGGTGATACAGCGGAAGTCGAATATGATGAAGCAGACGATGACAAGATGGAAGACTAGGACTCATCCTTCAAAAGCGCCGTATTCAGAGTCATGGAAGTCGGTGTGGTAGACTAACATTGTACTACTTCGTATACCCTTGCCAGTATTCCATCCCTTCCACAGTCGCGTGATTGAGATACTGCACTGCACCAAGAACAATACAACGACCTCCATCGCACCCAATACACTCCAGCTAGAATACTGTACCCTACACTCTACCTCGATTTAACCAAATACTTCCCTCGCACGACCGGCACAATGCCATTCCCTTAGCTCTCCCACTTACCCATCGCAACGCACATGAAACACTTCCGACTATCCAGAGCATTTACCCGGCCGCATGCGCAGACACAACCCGCGACGCCCACACGTCTACATCTCAGACGTCCCTGATTCTCCATTTGTTGAAAAGCCGGTGAACATGCTCATCCCGACCTCGGGAGCATGTGGTGCGTGCCATGTGGAAAATGAGAAGGGGTTATTGTCAGTGGTTGCCTAACGTGGTTTACAGGGCGGAAACGAGCCACTTGGTCATGAACACGCGCATGAAGCGATAGTTAAGCAGCTAAGCAGCTAAGCGCGAAAACGACGATTATGGTGACATGGCGTGGAAGGCTACTGATGCGAACTGGGAAGGTGCTGGGACCCGAGGTCGTGCTGATGTACGTAAATCGGGTTCTACGCAAGTATGCAAGAGTTTTGAATGGCAGATGAGAGAGACTGGGGTGATTTGGAGAGCTGAGAGGTGCGTAAGGAAGCTCGAGTTTGTAGGAAAGGATGCCGGAAGCATCGAGGCCGCAACACCTAGGTATGGCAGTCGCGAGCGACCACAACACGTGGCTCCATCTTCAAGGGCAAGGACGTCACAAACCTCACGTGTGGACTATCTCACCTCACCTCAAACTATATCGAGCGACATATCTCTCTCACACCGACGCCCTCTGAGTTATCACTACACGGAACCTAAACAATCTACACTACACCTCCTCACGATAACCACCTACACAACGAACCACACACCTACACGCGCGCGCAACACCCCCAGACTCACACCAACCCACCACCCGCGCCGCCCCCAGTTTTGGTAGCAATGAGCATCCTCTTCCTAGCCTGCCTCCTAGCAATCTGTCTACCAATCCTCTCGGTACAACTCCCCCGCCTACTCCCCCATCTCCATCTCCATCTCCCCCACTTCCTCCTTCCGCGCTCAGACATCCTTGCAGAAAACCGATCCACGCTACACCAACGGCCACCATCCCTACGACGGCGCCTACGACCGCGAAGGCCAGCCCCAACGCCGCGAAGTCAAGAACAACAAGGGGGAGGGCAAGCGACGGACGGTGCGGATAGTGGAGCCAGATCGGAGGAGGGACAGGAGGACGAGGGAGGGGAGACGGGAACGGGGTCAGAGGAGATCCATCGACAGCCGAAGAAGGTATTGAAGGTGGAGGGGAGCGGGAAGGGGAAGGAGAGGGCGGATGGGAGGGAAAGTGGGAGGAAACCTTGGGATCCGCCTGTGAGGGGGATGGGGATGGGACGGAGGGGATTCGGGATGGGAATGAGAGTGGGAATGGGGAGTGAGGGGTTTGATGTGCCGAGTACGCCGCCGAAGAAGACGGGGAGGGAGATGGAAGCGAAGGGTGTGGCGATTCGATTGTTTCCTCCGGATGGGGATGGCGAGTATACGTACGACCCAGCGCCGAACGACGAGATACCCGAACCGAATCGCGAGACCACTCCCCGACCGGCCCATAGATCTACTCCAACTCCGCAATACCCTTCCTACGGCACCGTCTCAGACCCCCCACCACAAAACAAGAAAAGCAAGCGCCGACCCAGCGCCATGTCCGCGATCTGGATATGCGTCGCGATACTAGCAGTCCTGCTCTTCATCCTGCTCTTCGCAATCCTAATCGCACACTGTCTAGCCTGGTTCCTCGTCTACAAAACCGAAGCCCGATTAGGAGAAGCACGGCGGGGCATCATGCAAGGGGGAGAGATGAGATTATGCTTATGCGCAGCATAAGTGTAAAAAATGGAGATTCGCTATTGCTTGTAAATGAGCACCCCGCACCCGCTGTAAACGCTAGAATGGAAATAGAAACATATTACTACACAGACGCATACTGCCTGTCAGGTAAGAGACGAGGGCTAACAACATTCGTGGCGTTCGCCGTTCGCGGCTGGTGCATGACCCGTTCTTTCTAGTAGCTCCTGTTCCTTTTGTGGTGACCGCGGAGGTGTGGACTTCTCGTCGTCCTTGCTCTCCAGCATCGAATCAATGCCAAACTGGGCTTCGCCCCCAAAGTTAGAGTTAGTCCTGCGAATCGCATCCGCCATAGCATGAGCCGCCACATTCGGCCGTTCAACCTGCCCAGCATGCTCCGGGTCCTCAGGCGGGTTAAACAGCGCAGCCTCATGGTCGTCAAAGTCCTGCCCCGGATTGACAGTCTCATACTCCACCAACTTCACAATCCGATACATGCCAAACGCCAACAACGTACCCATCAGCGGCCCAAACCAGTAAATGTAATGGTACCCCGGGAAGTTGTGGGTAGCGACGCAGGGCCCGAAGCTCCTCGCAGGGTTCAAGCTGCCGCCGGTGAAGAACACGCCGACCATTTCCGCGACGAAAAGGGCTAGGCCGATGCCGATCGGGGCCAGGAAGGTGGCTTTGTGCTTCTCGGCTGCGAGCATGAAGATGGTGAAGACGAGGAGGGAGGTGAGGAACATTTCGAGGAAGACGCCGCGGGCGGCGGAGACGCCTGCGCCGAGGGTGGTGGAGACGTTGAGGGGGCCTGGGATGATGGCTTGGATTACGCCGGCGGCGGCCATGCCCGCGAGCATTTGGGAGACGAAGCAGAGGCATGCTCGGATGGTTGGGACGGCGCCGATGAGCCAGAGACCGAGTGTTACCTGTGGTTGTTGTCAGATGTTGGTTGCATGCGTTCGTTTGGGAAGGCTGACTTACGGCAGGGTTGAATAGTCCTCCGCTCACTCTGAAGAATACCCAGACATTGACCATCAGACTGAAGCCGAAGATCAGACTGATGTACAGCAGCACACTCGTATCTGGCGCCTGTGTGATACTGTTGTTGTCTTGTCCAGAGGTAACCCGGTTGCTGTATGTCGCCGCAGTGTTCGCTACACTCGTTCCTCCAAACGCAAAGAACAGAAACATGAACGTGCCGGCGAACTCTGCTGCAGCGGCAACGAGCTCATTGCGCCATTTGTTAGGCATAAAACTCTTTGCCTTTTGAGGCCGGTGGATATGGGTGGCATGGCTGTGAGGAGTGCCCTGAAGTCGCGATACCGACTCCTTCTTGTGTAACGGTAAGATATTCTTGAGCGCCATCTCTCCAGCCTAGACTGTTGAACAAAGTGACAGACTCGAGATAGTAAGTAAGTAGTACTGGTATACCAAAACAGCGAGCTATACGCTACGCAAAGACAAAAACAAGATGCCCAAAAAGGCTGACAGACAGAGAAGACAAAGAACTGGATCAAGAGAAAACCAAGGTTGTGTAGCCCCCTCCGGCGCTGAGAGTTAAACCCAAAAACCAAACTAAAGAAAACCACCCAGCCTTTCCTTAACAGACATTGACGTCCTTTCTCCAAGCCCCGACGCCATAATAGTCGTGCGGCGCTCGGGCGGGGGGCGTACTGACGTAGACTCGCGGGTCCGTACTTGGGTTAACAAGTGAGACTGACGGTTCACCCGTAATGGCGTTATGGCGTTCGATGGGCGTTACGGGCGTTCCAATAACGCAGCACGCACCGTCTCACATCTTTGCGATACTGCGCGAGGGCCACGATCACGGTGTTCAGCACGTTCAAGCCACGCAGGTCGGTAAATCAGTAATCCCTGCGTGTGAAACCCTTATCCCCGATCCATGGATTTTGGGGGAGGGGGGTGTCGGTGCATGATGCGGCGGCCCCTGCAGTGTGAATGGCTGCGTGTTCGTGATGCTGTAGATCTGGCGTCGGGGAGGGGGCAGTTCAGATCGCCGGCTAGAAGCGAGCGCTAGACTGGATGCGGGTCGCAAGGGACTTGAGCTAGCAGGTGTGATGTCATGCGTAACTTTATTTCTCCAGATCTTCATCCCTTTGGCAGTCTGTGGGTTATGGGGGGCTGAGGGAAGCCATGCGCGTTCATCACAATTTCTATTCTCAACATGCAGAGGATCTACGATTCTACGTCTATCGAGAAGAGTGCGGCTCGCCTTGCGGCCCAGCGTCCTGATTGCTACCCCATGAACACGATCGCACCTGGGCAGTGCGGGTAGGTACCAACGCCCTCGCGTATCCGAACGAAAATCCACAAACGGAAACGTTCTTCATCATGATCGCTTCGCACCGTGCGCAGATTTTCCAGTCCAGCCGTCAACCACTCACGCCCACCCAGAAATATCCCCCCGAACGGAGCGGTCTCCACTAACTGTAAGCGGCCGCGGGGGGATGTTGAGACACGGAAACGGATTAGCTCCGTCCCTGCGAACTTGTAATCGTGGAACGCTTCTGGAGCACCAGCGCGCGATGACGAGGGAAGGATCTGCAAGGAATGGGGGGTGGCTAACGTCGATCGAGGGGAGCTGGGAGGGCAAGGCGGAGATGGGAGGGGGGCAGGTGAACTTTGGGATGGGGATTCAAGGTTTTGGGTGTGTTGGATGCATTGGAAAGGGATGCAGTGATTGTGATGTGTTGATGTGTTCTGAGTTTCAGTGGGAATTGATTGCGCAGTCAGTTTGCGGCGGCTAACTTTACAGATTTTTCAAGGTTGACGCCTGTTCCTCGGCTTCGAAAGTTTCTCCTCATTATGAACTTCAGGGTCTACTTCTCCTTGCTCAGAGTCGTTTGCGCCCACACGTACTACACGTGCTTCGCGACCTACTGCGACACATGGCAGCATTTCCCGCTCGCTGCAGTCGAAGCTTCATTGCTTCCACTGCGTTATCTGGTTGTTGGCGATCTCCTTGACTAATTTTCTCTCGGCCACCTGCACTCCGACCATCTTCATCAGCGCATCTCCGCCTCTGGCTGCATGTATGCCTCACCTCCTGCATGTTGCCGAACAGTGTCGAATCATGATCTCCGATATGGCGCCGTCGTCCTGGTCGTCCAAAGTCTTTTAGATCCTCGTCTGTGTATTCAACATCGTCGACTTCGAGACTGTCCCAATCGCTCAGCTCGCTATCCTCAGGCTCTGCGATTGACGTGTCAGATCCCTCGCCATCGTCTGCAGGCATACATTGGCCCGCTTGACGCATCTTTTGACAAGCGAGTTCGGGGCTGCGAGTCGTACTAGATCCTGTGCTTGTAGTTTTGCGACACAGGCCCTGCATGATTGCTACCGATGTGTTGCAATGTATCGGGGGTTATAGGCAGCGGTTGGAAAATCGTTCTTAGCAGTGTCGCTAGAGTTCAAACAACGCACTTATTTTTTATATTTCGTACGTTGTGAAGTCTGCGAGGCAGCCATCATTGTTCTGTGAAGCAAGGACACGAGACGTGGCTAAGCCACATAATTGAGTTGTGTACGTACAAGCTTCACTTTGACTCTATCATCTTGTCAGCACAGTATCGCCCGCTATGTCACAAGTGAAGTGGATACTCCTCGCGGTTCATGCTACCAACCTTTGAATACGAAAACAGTGTATCATGCGTCAACAGATTGCAGGCGGAATTGTCCATCTTCAAAGACCGCGAACAATTCAAGTCCGTTCAAATGCTATTATTGGTAGCGGAGCTGGAATCAAGATGGTCGCTACAACGAACGTGTGTTAGTCAACGCATTAAAACACCTTATTGTCTTGTTCCATGAGAGCCGACGCGTGCGTCATCGTAGTACATGAAATTTAATGAGTCGTGCAAAGATTACTGCAGCATTGTGCCCAGTTGTGCTGACACTTCAGACCAGTGACGAATGACCACGACCTCTCCATCTGCGATTTATGTACCGGTCGCATTGTCTTCCGTATACACCCCTTCTCAAACGGTTACTTACGCAGTTCTGATACCTTCAGATCCTACCCGGCATGATCCCAGCCTAGCAGGTCTCCACACGTTCATCAGCGATCCTGGGTACCCTAGTCAACACCAAAAATGGAGAAATATCATCTGCCCTGATGAGGCGGCTTATGCATTGCGACAGCACTTAGAGCGCGTTGATGCCAACGAAATTCGGCAAAGATGTTTGCACCACTTCTCAGTGAGCCATACTGTCCTACCGCATTATTGAAGCAAACCTTTCGCCTAATCAAATTGTTGCTGATCAGATGTGGAAATGCGATGATGCTTAGGTGCAGTTGGAGGGGAATATGATGCGCGATCTCATGCGAACTTCATCGTATAAAGGTAGCATAACTCATTGGGGTTTGACAAGGTCTCGCATACATGCGGCGACGTTTGAACAGCAGCCTCCGGTCACTCTAGAAGTGCCATAGACTGAGCTCTTCCTCTGACTGTACATCTCAATCGGTTCACTCTTCATCATTCGATTTGCACACGACTGCGCAAAATCTGTATGCTGACAGAATCATTGCAGCGGGTCACTTCCGGTACGTGAGCTGCCAAAGGTTCGCACATGAGCAACAGTGGGCGCGTATCTGCAACTACCTGTCTTACAGGTGACCGGGTATACTGCACCCACGGGGCCTGATCGAGGTGCAAATTTCGCAGCAGCGAGACGATCGTTGAGCGAGTGCCTAAGCGTTCAGATGCTTGGAGTAGAAGTCTGGCGAGACATTGTTAAGTTACTTGTCATCCGTAGTACCTAGGTATTTCGCAAGCGCTGGGGGCTGCGCTGGTATAGTAGCGATGAGCTTGGTTCTGGAGGGCGAATCCACAGGGATAGCAGAAGGTTTCAGCGAGTTTTGAATGAGTGCACATCAGCTCTATCAAAGATACTTGATGGACGGCTGCATCGTCGTGGTGCTGTATCCTGATGGAAGGCCTCGGAAGCCGAGATGGCAAGTGGGTCCTCGGCCCAACGCGGATGCCACTAGGCTAAGTGGGCATTAGTCACAATGACGTAACGCGAAAACCAGGTCGCGACGGGATCGCATCCCAACCTCGAAACCCCCTTTGCGTACGACGCGTTCGCCGCAGCGTCCAATGACCATCGCCTCCATGCCGTAGGGCTCGAAATCTTCTCACGCCGTTCCTGATGGCACAGGCGTACTCCCTGCGGAGCTTCAGCATCCAGACCCCTTGAGACGAACCCTAGGAGCGAACGTCGCGCGACCGACCCACCAACCTACCACGACCGAGGGCCAGCTAATGTGGACCAGAGCACCAGAAATAACGATCGACTTTCCGACATAATCCCGCTGTGGTACTTCTGCGTGTGTGCGTCAGCAAACAGCTGAACACAGCCCACATCTGACGACGCGCGCAAGATGCAAAGTGTACCTCTGGGCGCCTGAAGACCTGCCCAGGGACCTGCGTCGCTTCGAATCTTCTGCGACACCGAGATAACCGGTATTCAAATATGCCACTCAGCACTAAGAGTACAGGAGAAGGGTTTGCATCTCCATAGCGAAGTCTCCACCAATCTCTGCACGGCGAAATTTCGCCGACACTGGAGCTGTCGGATGTGATCATGTCAAAGTGACGAAAGGCCTCCACACTGCGCCGTGCGATTCCAGCTAGACAGCGTGTACTCGACTTGCGAATGATTCGTTTGACCGTTTTCAAATGGAGACAACATCCGTCAGCCTTGACAGCTCCCGCTATGCAGTGGGGACTATGGAAGTGCCCAGCTTGGTTCACAGGTCTCGTCAGCTTTAAACCGGATCGCATCGAAAACTATCATGTTGACATGCCTGCCTTCCATATTCCTCGCGACTTCAACCTTTCGTCTCTAGTGCAGACCATGCGGGCTGGCTACGAGCATGGTACGCGGCTTTCACGTGATCTCCCAGGCTGGTCCTGCTGCCGACGTACCCCATGAATTCCAAGTCTACAGATGTCTGGGGTAAAAAGCACCACTTCGCTTATTTGCTCATCTTGCATATCAAACGACCTTAGCGGAACACTCGGCAACGGTTTGTTACTATATTGAGTAACTTTGCTCTTCGTTGTTCACCGCCAAGGCTCATGCCAATAGTCTCAACTCTCTAGACGACGCCGACCTTGCCGTCGGAACGGACTCCGCAACGCATCAAGCTCCGTCTTACTTTCGAAGAGCTCATCGTCTGCAATCTCAAGATCGGAAAGCTCACGTTTAGCGATGCAGTTCATCTTGCTGACATCAAAGTTGCAGCCATACTTGCGACCAGTCTCCACGTACAACACCAACGATACCTCTCGTTGATATCCTTCTCGAGGTCGAGTTGTGTACATTGCATGGGGAAGAGCAACGTGTTCCTGTCGATCTTACCCCACAAAATCGGGTCTGGCGTACGTCGAGAACCACAGTTCCCAGAACGTCTTTTGACTTCTGGCCAATCATTGCGGTTGGTGTTACTTGAAAGCGCGACATTTTTGAACGTTAACGCGGGCCACACGGCTACTACCAGGCAGCGGAAAGCCTCAAGCATTACAGGCTTGGATAGTAGTCTCCACAAATGCTTGTACAGGCATTCGTCTACTGATATCATCGTTCTCGAGATGACGATGAGAACCAGACGCGAGGCCTGCTAGAATCCCAACAACGTAAGCCGATGCCGCAACACTGGAAGTCGCTAGGAGTCTTTAGCAGTACCGGCTGTCATAGTCCCTGAGCCACAGGCTGGTATAAGAGGCACCCAGTTCGAACATGTTGGAGGGCATCCTCGAATTCCACCTCATCCCACAGTCGCTCAGTTTTCCAGTATGAGATACGCTTTCGCTCCCATCGCGTTCGGCCTCGGAGCCAACGCCCTTGTCGTTCGTCAGGCTACACAGTGCTTCAAGCTTGAGGCGTCAGGCGGCGCATCAGGTGTACTTGGCCAACTCGACGACGGCCAGAACCGTGTCGGTAACGGTGGTCTGCCTACCGGCTGCTACTGCCTGGACGGCAACGGCGGCTTCACTGATTCCAATGGACGTGGTTGCATCCTAACTCCTCCCACCACCCAGTTCCAGTGCGATGTTGGTGCTACTCCCACCAACGGCTTTGCGGTCGGTCCCAACGGTGGCGTTACATACAACGGCTCCGGCAAGTTCTACGCTTGCCCCGTCAACGACAACGGCGAGTACAACGTCTACACAACACCTGCCCCTGGTCAAGAGAAGTGCGTCGAGATCTCTCTTGGCTCCGCCGGTTCTTGCGGGGCTGGCGCTACACAACCCGCTGGCTCTCAGCCTGCTGGCACACCTCCCGTAGCCACTGCGACTGGACCGGCCGGCACACCTCCTGTCGCTACTGCTACTGTATCCGCTGGTACACCTCCTGCTGGCACATACCCTGCTGGCACATACCCTGCTGGCACACCTCCCGCCGGCACACCTCCCGTCGCTACTGCTACTGTACCTGCTGGCACACCTCCTGCTGGTACACCACCCGCCGGTACACCTCCTGCTGGAAAGCCTTCTGGTATGCCTGGGAAGCCTTCTGATATGCCTGGAAAGCCTTCCGGTATGCCTGGAAAGCCCTCCGGTATGCCCGGAATGCCTTCTGGCATGCCCGAGTACCCCGGCCAACCTGGAAAGCCCCAGCAATCAGGCAAGCCGGGCTACCCCGCCATGTCCGAAGGCATGAAGCCCTCCCAGCCCGCACCTGGTGTCCCTCAAGAGTCTGAGTGCGTTCCAAGCGTCGTTACCGTCACTGTAACTGCGCCTGCTGCTCCTCCCGCTGGAACCAACCCCGCCCCCTCTGAGACCAAGCCAGCCCCTCCCGCTGAGACGCACCCCGCTCCTCCTGCCGAGACTCATCCCGCCGAGACACACCCTGCTCCTCCCGCCGAGACTTATCCCGCTGCTTCTGCGACCATGCCCGCTCCCCCAGCAGGAAGCAAGCCCGCTGAAACACCAGAGAACCCCGACGACGGCGTTAACAACGGTGGTGAGGGCTCATGCCCCCAGGACCTCAACGGCAACTACGAGTACCCCCACCTCATCGTACCTGTCGACTCCGAGCAGCCCGACAAGGCCCATGACACCTCCTACAATGGCATGGTCGATAGCCACACTTGCACCATCTTCAACTTCGACATCCCCGCCTCCATGGCTGGTAAGAAGTGCTCTGCCATGTTCATGCTTCCCAAGAAGGAGGACCTCGAGACCTCCGACTACACCATGTCTGGCCACGGAGAGTGCACCGTCAGCAAGCTCAAGGGCCCTGCCGACGCGATGACTACCTACAAGAACATGCCCGCCAAGGAGAAGGACGTTGCCCACATGGAGATGACCCCTGGCAACACCTACCCCGTCGAGACTGGTGACTGCGAGGCTGGCAAGACCGTCACCTACATGATCTGCGGCAGCGGCGACTTCTCCATGGATTACTTCCAGGACTACAACCCAAGCCCCCTTGGCATGTACGTTCGCGAGTGCTAAATTGTTAGTGTTGGTGGCTGAGACCTTGTTGGGATCATGGATGCTCATCAAGTGAGTCTAAAAGGTGTGTCGGATATGAACACCGCCTACTTCTTCTTCATCGTCGCTGAGACGAGCCCTTCCTTTGTAATAACAACATGATACGATACGACGACATGGCACTCCTTATGAATAGTTTGTAGACTAGATTCGATTCAATGTACATTTTTACTCCTAGATTTTGATCACGCGAAGGACATTTTTCGTGAACGTTGAAGCTAGACAGCATCACTTTCGCCTCCCACCTCCCAGCGGCTGGTCAACTCCGCAAAGATGCCAAACGTGAGTCACTGCCACATTGGTCTCAGCTTCGCATTGAAACGATGCGCACTCGCAGCTATCGTCCACATCCTTGTCCCCTCCACCTCAACTTCTTCATTGTGAAGCCACTACAGCGAACGCATCAATTGAAGATTCTTTCTTCTCCCACATCGAGCATTGGATTTATATCTCGCAAATACACATCTGTTGGTTCTGTTCGACATTGCAGCGGGTTGAAAGGAGTTCCAAGGTTTTGGACGCGCAGTGGGAACTACTACAACCACTGCCAAGACGCTAACGGCAAAGCAATCAGCATCCCCCACCCGCGTTGCGTTTACTACGAACTGTCACGCGCCTGACTGCACCCCATTTCAACTCAACCGACGCGAGCGAACACCTGACTACTGCGTTCTCGAGATTCCGACGCGTCGTTCTTTGAGCGGCGCTCTGCCCGGCTTGGACTGTCATGCACGCCACACGCGTCGCACAGCACCATCATTTTCGTGCCTTTTCGCGCTCTTCGCAAAATACGCCTTCAGCTAGGAACTGGATATCCGGATGACGATATGCAGTCAGGTAATGGACTACGTCCTTACGGCTATCGTAACCCATTGAACGCGAAGCGCGCATACATGGGGAAGGGAGGTCAACTGAACTCTCGACGTTTGTATGCCACAGGGCCTTCAATCTGCGCGATCGTCCCAACTCCAGTGCCTTGGCTCGCGATATCACTTTCGACAACTATTCTGTGTTGGAGCTCCTGCATCGTGCGTGCAGCATCTACATCCAACTCAGCCTCAGGGTACAGCCGCTCACACTCGCGCTAGAAGACGCAACGAATCTTCTGTACAGTGTCTGCAGATGGCGAGCTGCAGTCCGAAATGACACAAGATCCCCACTGTACTCTATGCGCAATATACACAGCATTAGCTTGACCGCCCCGTCCAATCTGCAGGGCGCTTTTCGGGATCGCAATATCACGAGCCGGATTGCGGGGTCGACGTTTCAACGAAGCTGGGGTAGAAGCCGGGTAAACAGCTCAGATATATTGACTACCCGCAGCAGCCCCGGTAGACTTTACCTTGGCTAATTTACTGTTAACAGGACTACATGCCAATCTAGGGGCGAACGACCGTTCCTTACATTCGCTACAGAATACGCACGGTACGCCATCGATGAAGCACTACAGCAACGCCGCCGTGGCGCTTTGTATGCGAGATGTCAATGCTTTTTCACCAAGGACTTGGACCGTCTTGAGTGCTGTTAGAATGTACAACGGGCCGACGGTACCGTTGACTAAGTCTAAATACAGGCACGTGAACGTAAGGGCAAGCCTGTACCAAGCCTGCTGAAAGAGAAAGAGATGATTGGATGGGTCTTTTCTGCGGCGCTCATCCTCATGGCGTTGTATAAAAGCCCCAGGTAGTCCAACGTACGATTCATCACCACCTCGAGTCAATCTCAAGCCTCTCGTTTCATCATGGTGCAACTCACACAGTTCGTTTTGGCAACTGCCGCCCTCGCCGGTGCTGCGTCCGCAGCTCCCAAGCCACCCCCAGGCCCCAACGTCAACCCTTGGACTGGCAAAGACCGCTATGTTGTTCAGAGCTACGGCAAGAAGCTCGACCAGACTATCGCAGCCTTCACAGCCCAGAACGACACTCTCAATGCGGCGCGCACTCGCACAGTCGCCCAGAAGATCTCGACTTTCACCTGGGTCACCACACGCGATGGTCTCAGCCTCATTCCCCAAGCCATCAAGGAGGCTCGTCAGCAGAAGAAGGGCCCGAAGAAGATGATCGTTGGACTAGTTCTGTACAATCTGCCCGACCGTGATTGCTCTGCTGGCGAGTCTGCCGGTGAGCTCAGCTCCGCCAACAACGGTCTCCAGATATACAAGAAGGAGTTTGTCGACAAGTACGCCAAGCTTGTTTCCGAGGCCAGGGATCTCGACTTCGCCATCGTTCTCGAGCCCGACAGTCTGGGTAACGCCGTCACCAACCAGGGCGTTCCTTTCTGCGCCAACGCCACTCCAATCTACGAGGAGGGTATTGCGTACGCGATCTCCAAGTTGCAGTTCCCCAACGTACATCTGTACATTGATGCTGCGCATGGCGGCTGGCTCGGTTGGGCAGACAACCTGAAGCCGACTGCTGAGGTCTTCGGCAGGGTTGTTGCCATGGCTAAGAAGCTCAACCCCATGGCTAAGATTCGGGGTTTCTCCACCAACGTATCCAACTACAACTCCTTCCAAGCCAAGGTTCGCGAGAACTACACCGAGTACTCCCCATCGTGGGACGAGAGCCACTACGCCACCTCGCTCGCTCCTTACCTCGAGGCTGAGGGTCTGCCTTCCCACTTCATCATTGACCAGGGCCGCGTCGCTCTTCCCGGTGCTCGTGAGGAGTGGGGCGAGTGGTGCAATGTTGAACCTGCCGGATTCGGTCCTCTACCTGGCTCCAAGCAGAACAACACCAACGTTGACTCTCTTGTCTGGATCAAGCCTGGTGGTGAGAGTGACGGAAAGTGTGGTCTTACTGGCGCACCGGCTGCTGGTGCTTGGTTCGACGAGTACGTGCAGATGCTGGTCAAGAACGCTGAACCGCCTTTGGCGCCAACCTACATGAAGAAGCCTCATGGTCCCAAGGCCTAGATGTGGCAGGGCTAAACGAGTGTAAAGTACGCGGCTTCTGTTTAATGTACATATTGAATCGAATATTCCAGATCTTCATAAGACTTCTATTCTTTCAAAGTCTCCCCGACCTTGCTACCCCGTCGGGATCTGATTCATGTTCATGGTTATATGCGCTCTGAACCTACACGTGACTCCAAGCTAACCCCACGGTTTCTAGCCCGGGCCTGCGTCTATTTAGAGAAGGCAGCTGCCTTGAGAGATTGCGTCACCACAACAACGGGTTTGCAACAGATCTACATCGAGTCCTTCCGTCGACTTCTCAAACTCAACCCGATACCCGAATCCACAATATGACGACCGCCTCTCAGGACCGCGAGAAGGCCTACAAGGAGTGGGAGGAATTGTTCAAGCGGGCAACTACCCCTGAGGAATCTGACAAGATGTAAGCTGATGAATTGAGCACGTACTTCGTCTACAGTACACTGGCTGATCGAAACAGCGCCACAGCAAACCAGCTCAACTCGCCCCTACTTCGTCTACCTGGCGAGATCCGCAATCACATCTACACATACGCCTGCCGATCTACTACAGTCAAGCACGGGAAGCGCCCAGAAGTCTCCGAAAGGTCGTGTCTCTTCTCCCAGACCTTCCTCCTCACCTGCAAACAAATCTACTGTGAGGCCATCGCACTCTTGTATACCCACGCGACGTTCGAGTTGTCTGGATTTGGAGGGTGGGCAGCTCACGTAAGCCTCAACCTCATATATCGCAGCCTCATTTCCTCACTGTATATGGACGGTGGTTATCTCACCACTGCGATACGGAAGGCTTGGGAATTTACAGCTGGTATAAGGGCTAAACCTGATCTACCTGGGGTTGAGAGGGTTCTTTTGAAGCAACCCGTTAGGGCGAATGATATATGCATCGATGCGCTACGAGGACTGTTTGATAAGCCGAACCTACAGGTCACCGACGAGGAGATTACAGATCCATATTGGCTCCTGAAAATGCAAAATTCTTCAAGGCAACCAGGGACTTATCGCTGCTAGCGCATTCTTTCCCAATTTAGTTTCCTTTACTCATGAGTAGCTGGATACCTAAGTACACGAGGAAGCAGTTCCAGCTAAGCTGGGAGCGCATGTCTCTGAGAACGATCCAGAAGTTCTGATGGATATCCATAGTGTCATTTATAGCAACACATTAGAACTAGATCAAGAAACATCCTCGGCCCTATGCACGTGATCCGGCGCGTGATCTCGAGGGTCTAATCCCGGTCTTGCAACCACCCCCGCACGTACCCTCTGTATATAAAACACCTTGATCGCCGAAACCAGTCCTCTTCTCTTATCTTCCCACAGATTGTTCTCGGTAAGCCATCAGCTCATACAGTCTCGTGAGCAACTACGCCGACTACCTAGTCTGTAGCCCACAAATCCTCAAACACACGTACCTGGGTAAGCGTTCTGCGCCATTGAACAACGTTCTGGGCTTCGATCCTGACCCCGCGTAGCAATATGTCACGACAGACAGTCACCTCACGTCAGCGTCGCGTGCTCACTTCCAAAGAAGCTCGCGAGATGTAAGTACCTGGACCATTCAACCTTATCGAGACGACGGGCATCTGCTAACATGTATCCAGCACCCTTCAGAACCAGCTAGACTCATCTCTCTTACGACTGCCGCCAGAGATACGCAACAAGATCTACGCGTACGCGTGTTCCCGCACTCAGGCCGTCTTCAACAACAGTCCTCGAGCCCGCAAGTCCACAGCCATCATATCCACCTGTTCTCAGATGCGCCATGAAGCCCACGCCATCTTCTTCGCGCATGCGACTCTCGATTTGAGGGCGCTCCTGTTCTCGGAGTTCCCAGAGAATCTTCCACATACGGACTTCCGGCTCGTCACTTCCATCCATCTACGATCGCAGCGGATTACAAGGCTCCTACGGGAGGATGAGCATCTTGTAACGGAACGACAGGGAGCTAAACTCTTCCCGGAACTGGAGCGAGTATATGTCGCTGGTTGGAGTAAATCGCGCATGCCAAAGGATAGTTTGGGGGTTGACGCGCTACGAACTTGGGCGGGAAATGCGGACTTACAAGTGGCCCCCAGCTCAGCGTTCTAGAGATAATCACAAGGGCGGGTTCCGCTTACGGGAATGACGAGAGTATTGATGCGTCATGACCAAAGCTCTGCGATGGAAACGAGGTAGCAGTCGGTCCTTCTGTGCTAATTCACGAAATCACCCCCAAAGCCTTCAACCTACTTCCCTCTACCACCCGCTGTCCATATACCAAAATCAACCTATCTGCTTCCTCTACTCACGCGATATCGAACCACCACATACGCAAAGGTACTCCTCATCAAATGAGAAGGATCGCAATCCTCGACCTCGAACTCTTGGCCTCAACCCCAGCCATGCGACATAGCAGCGCCGTAACAGACATGTAGTTTAGCCATTTCCCACGCAGATACGCAGCCGCACCCGCTGACAATTTATCCAGTACGACTCGAAACCAGCTTCATTCTCCACTTCTCCGACTTCCAGGCGAGATCCGCAACAAGATCTACGTGTACACATTCAGCAGTATGTACATTCGTATATACCGTTGGAGTAAGTACACGTACGAAAGATTCACGGCCCTCATTTCAACCTGTTCCCAGCTCCGCCATGAAGCCCGTGCGATGTTCTTCAATTTGGTGACCTACAGGGTCTCCGATACGGATCATTCGTGGATCAAGCGGATCTCGAGGCTACCCGTTTATCAACTTATGACATCCGTTCGCATGCACTATGAGGGTGTGGATGAGCTGTGTAAGCTGGAGCGTCCAGCCTTTCCGGCTTTGAAGCGAGTATACGTATTGGCTTTACCCATGGGATCGTATATGAGTAAGGACATACGGGATAAATTGCGAGCTTGCACTAGGAAGCAGGATCTTGAAATCATCTTTGAGAAAGCTGGGTAAGGGTGTGGGAAGGGTTCTGTTAGGTGAGAGCGCGACGCGTACGTCATAGCGTTTGCTCCTACCTGAAAGGGAAATAGCCACTAGATAGTCGCTTCTTCTACTCGAATACAACAACAATCCACTCTCACCTCGCTTATCACCACACTCCAATCCTTGGCCTTTAGCTGCGATTACTTCTGTCCTTTGTCAGCTTACCAACTTCATCCTCCCGCGCGATATTCACGATGCAAAGTGAGCTCGCATCCGCAGCCTTGCCTTGCGACAGCGCAATGTCGGAAATGTAAGCCCCCAACCCCCAGAAACATGCACACAACAACTGACACCGCGGCTAGTACGCTCAAGAACCAGCTCAACTCACCTTTTCTTCGCCTCCCCGCCGAAATTCGCAACAAGATCTACACCTACGTTTCGCTTTCTACGACAATCAAAGTGATAGCAGCCTTAGAAGTTAAATCCACAGATTGCACCTTCTATCTGAGAGCTCCGGGATTCATTAAAAGCTGCAAGCAGATCCAGCACGAAGCCATGACGTTGCTTTACAGTCTGGCCACTTTCGACATCACCGACTACAGCAGAGGCTTCTTGTGCAATAGAGGCTTCAATCGCAACATCTGCAGCCTGATTACCTCAATCAGGATGTCAGGTATCTTGGCTTGTTCCGTAATGTCAGGTTATGAACGTGCAAGTCCTTGGAGATCAACGGCGTTAGCAAGAGCCCTATCAGGTCTGGAGAGAGTGTATGTACAAAGAGTATACCGGGGTTGGGAGACGGTCAAGGATTCAGCAGCTCTGAGGGAGTGGTTGCAAAACGAGTCACTTGAGATCATCTTTGAGAATTATGCTGGCTGAGAAATTGGTCGCACACGGTCCACGGAAACACTGTGTGATTAAGAACTCGATAGTAATAAAAAACGCGTCTTGCAAAATGAGATCTTTGTTTCAGTCCGGTGCACTGTTAATAGTCCGTAGACCCATTCGCTGCGAAGTCGTAGGCCACGGGAATGAAACACTCAACAGTCCTCCTCGAGCAGCTCAAGGGACGCAAGGCCCTGGGAGTGACCTTAGAGGCCAATGGACCTGATTAGTCACAAGAGGTACCTGGGTAGTCGATTTCCGCACTAGCACCTTCCGAGATAGCGCAGTAACACTGCCTTTACTTCTCAATCTTTCTATCTCTCTCCGACCACCACCCACAACCAGAGTCAAGCGCCACCAATCTCCGCGCCCCTACGACATGGAGGCCGACGCTTCCTCCGCAACCTTCCTGGGCGAAGAGACTGAAGCAAACATGTAAGCTCGCTGTCTCTCACCCAGTCGCAAGTACTAACTTTTGAACCAAGCACTCTCAGAAACCAGCTCGAGTCGCCGCTTCTCTGCCTGCCCGCGGAGCTGCGAAATAATATCTACATCTACGTAGGGGTCTCTACAACCATTCAAGTCGTCACGCGCCCCCGGACACATGCTGAAACATGGAAAGACAAAAAGCTACTCAAATACCCGCAACCCAGCCTCCTCAACACCTGCAAGCAAGTCCGCCAAGAAGCTACTTCCCTCCTTTACAAACATACTCTTTTCGACTTTTCCAGATCTGGCCCCCTGGCAATTCTGTTCCACCATTGCGAAGACAACTGCTGCGAGCGTATAACCTCCGTCAGAGTCAGACCCAAACTTCTGCAATATGTGGTTCGAAAATTCCTTAAGAAGGACTGTTTCTGGACTGATACGTACAAGGGCACTATCAGCGTGCTGCCAAATGTTGAGATAGTCCGCATCGTATCGAGTCCTGACAGGGAATGGTTTGAAGACAATCGTGTTAGTGCGGCACTGAGGGCCTGGTGTGGGAACAACACACCTGAAGTTATCTTCGAGGACATCTATGACGGTATTTGTTGGAAGTCAGAGTGGGGCGACATCTTGGGTAGAACCCCCTAAGATGGAGTTACTAGGATCGGACAGCGCCTAGCTTAGACCATCCTGGTGTTCTCTTCTCGACCGCCTATGGGGTGAATCTTTCATCGTGGCAATTTTGCTTTTAGGGTAGTACCAGACTTGGAACATTAAGACGAGTTATCAGTAGCAGTATGGCTATGGGAACAGTGATCAATGGAGACTACTTTGAACTAACTCAATCAAAACATTTTGGATGACGAATCAACCTACAACACTATGCTTCTTCGACTTCTTCCAGCCGGCAAAGCCTTGATAAGTATCATTTGATCTCCCCTCGTCTTCTTTCTCTCCCAATAACCTAATACCAGTCATGTCCCTATATCATTGCCGCAGCTAGAAGTTCTAATGATTCTCTTTGAACCACCCAGTAGGGCGCGCTGGGACTTTTTATTACACAAGAAGAAGTAGATCAATCTCTGAGGACCGTGAAAACTGACTCTGTGGCCCCCACATGCGCCTTCTCACTATCACGTGATTTCTCAATGAGTACATAGTTTCTTCTTCCGCACTAGTTAGTCGATAGTCATTACAATCAAATCCAATATTTCTCGACATATCACACCCACCACCCACCTCAATATAAACAATATCCTCTACTTATTCAACATGGAGACCACAAACTCACCGGCCCCTCAACCAGACAGCGTCATGTCCGAAGTGTACGTCCACCGCCATTTCCCGCACTTCCCACTGACAACCTTCCCAGCACATCCGCCAATCAACTGACCTCCCCGCTCCTTCGCCTGCCCGCTGAGCTGCGAAACCAAATCTACACCTACGTCGGCCTCTCTACTATCATCAAAGCCATTCAACCTGAAAGGTCTCTCTCGTGCAGTTTCCAGCTACCAGCTGAACTCGAGACGTGCAAACAGATCCGACACGAAGCCACCTCAATAGTATACAGATCAGCTCTCTTCGACTTTACTCAGTGTTACACGGGTGCTTGGTTGGAAGCCAGCTGCAACCGCGAAATTGGCGAGTTCGTTACCTCGATTAAGATTGGGGGTCAAGTGGCATGCCTCGTTTCACACCACATTCGAATGGGTAAAGACCATGTAGGACTGAAATTTCCGACTAAATGGCTGCCGAACGTGGAGAGGATTTACATCAAATATGACACATGCATGCAACAGTGGGGAGTTACTACAATGATAGCACTGGAGATGTTGTGCAAGAAGAATACCATGCAAATCATCTTTGTGTGATTGAGAGAATGGGCGGTGGGCAGGAAGAGGGTACTTGAGACGTCACGAGAACTCGCTAGTCAACAAAGAAGCGGATTGCAGTATCAGTCCGTGGCTAGGCAGCTAGCGCATAGCAGATAAATCGATCTCGGGAGCACTCACTTCAAATTACCTACTTAGTTCTGTCGAATACCCACTAGCCAATATTATTATACTCTACTTTTCCGCCCGTCCAAAGAATGGAAACTTCGTCTAGAGCCGTCGTATCTTCCACCGCCATGTCCCAAATGTAAGATCCTCGCTATCCGCTTAACACCACCCACTAACGAACGCGCCTAGTACTCTCACCAACCAACAAACATCACCCCTTCTTCGTCTCCCTGCCGAACTGCGGAACATGGTCTACACCTACGTAGGTCTCGCGACCATCATCCGACCATACAGATTAGAAACTCCAAACACCGCCAACACCGCCTCCATCAAGTACGCCCTCCAACTTCCAAGCGTCCTCTTAGTCTCGGCGCAAATCCAACAAGAAGCCACCCCCCTCGTATACGCGCATGCTCTCTTCGATTTCGACGTGTTTGAATTATGCGCGTGGCCACCAATTAGCACCTGCAACCCCAAGATCAGCGAATTTATCACCTCGATTAGAATTTCGAGGTGTCTTGCGATCGAGATTACACTCGAGATTAGAAATGCTAGAGACCTCGGAGAGCTCAAGTTTTCGAACTACCGGCTTCCGAATCTGAAGAAGGTGTATGTTGGGCCTTGCGAAACGAGGCGGCCGTGGGAAGATAGTGTGAGGAGGGCGCTGAAGGTTTGGTGTGGGAAGGGGGGTTTGGAGGTTAGTTTTGGGGTGGAAAGTTTGTGAGATGAGCGATGGGCTGGGAAAGGGGATTTTCAGACGTTAGGAGGACTGAATAGTTAAGGGAAAGACGGACTGAAGTAGTTGGCGTTGGCTGAGTAGTACATTACACGATAGATGGATCGCTCTCTTCGAGTCCTCTACTTCCTTCTGTCAACCTCAACCTCCAAACCTCTACCAAGCCATCAACACCCCCCCAAGATCCCTAAACTTAACCACCAAGTCCTCCTTTCCGAACCAATTCCTCAGCGCAACTCTGATCCTCTCACTTCCCTTCTTCGATGCGCACATGACCTCCACCCTCTCCAGCTTCTGCAGCGGGCACACAATAAACCTGTCTCTATCCGCGTCCACGTATCTCGCGATTTGTATCGCAACCACCCAGGAAATTTGTAAAGTAGTACAGCTCTTTGCCCCCGCGCAACACGCAATCCAGGCGAAGTCGTTTCTGCGGGTCATGTTGAAGGTAGCGTTTGCGTAGACTAGAGCGGTAGCTTCGCTGCAGATTTGTTTACACGTGCGCAGGAAGGGGGGAATGGTGTGCGTGAATGGGTGTTTGGAGTATCCCTGCAGTTTAAAGAATCCTACGCTGGTTGAGATACCGACGAAGGTGTAGATATTGTTGCGGAGTTCGGCGGGTAGGCGGAGGATTGGGGATGTGGGATGAGTGCTATGTTGCTAGTTAGTGCAGGTTAATGGATTGTTAACGGGATGCGTACATCGCGGACATTGCGCTGTTGGTTTGGGGGGCTGCAGGTGTGGTCGTGGTTGTGGCTGTAGTCTCCCTGGTGGGTAAGTAGTGGATGCTGGGTTTGTTCATTTTGAACAGTCGGTGGTATAACGGCAAGTACGCTAGCCGCACCATCAGTTCCAAGGTTCTCTAAATGCACTAGTCTGAATCAGGCGAATCACGGTGAACTGTTTATTCTCGTCAAGTCCTCTCTCTTGTTTAGGTAACTACCCACTAGCCGAGACCAACACACCCTACATTGTCCAACCCACACATAATGGAACGTCCATCTTCTACAGCCGTTGGAGTCGACACTGCCATGTCCAAAATGTATGTCTCCGCCACCCGCGACGTCACTAAACACCATCATCCACCTACTAACGCACACACCTAGCACTCTTACCAACACCCTCACATCTCCTCTCCTCCGCCTCCCCGCCGAATTGCGTAACAAGATCTACACCTATGTAGGCCAATCTGAACACATCCCCATCGCCGCAAGCATTATCAAACCCAAGGATACCCGCAACCCTTCCATGTTCGTCGTACATTTCCAGTCCCCAGGCCTTCTCTCAACCTGCAAGCAAACCCGCTCTGAAGCCACCGCACTGATATACGCTCAAGTTACCATCGACACCCTGCCTGGAGACGCATGGTACTGGCTCTACTCACAATCTTCACACCAGCTTTGCGCTCACATAACTTCACTCCGAATTAGCGAGATCTTCGCCGACCTCATGAGGCGCGAGGTCGAATTGCGCTCGACAGCCTCGCAAGCCACCAAAGCGTGTACCTTGCACTTACCGCGTTTGGGGCGTGTGTACGTCATATGTCAGGAGATAGCCGGCTGGCCGATGTCTGGGGGTGAGTCCGCGGAGGAAGCGGTGAAGAAATGGTTTGGCAACGAGAGTCTGGATGTGTTCTTTGAGGGGAGTTGGTCGAAGCAGTACTCTTATTCTGACTTGCTCATAGAGAGGTGTGGGATGTTTGCGGATGTAGACTGAAGCTCAACACATCCTCTTGGGTGTCTGATGAGTGAAGGGGTGGTTAGTGAAGATGCTCGAATGCAGGTAGACTGAAATGACTATTTGGTGGAATTTGGTAGACGAAAATAAGCAATCTCCAAGTTAGTCCCTTTATTCTATACTCGGTGCAGAGGAGCCTCTTGAGAACTGGACCAGGGTGACCGGATGACGTACAATCCCCGCTTCCTATAAACTATAAATCGAATTCAAACGCGTGCTGAAGCCTAGTATACTACATCTATCTCACTACAATCTCGCCCACGACCTCGCAAGCTAACACCGCGATGTCCACCATGTACACCCCCCCATTCTGCATTCCGCAAAGTCCACTAACTAAACTAAGCACTCTCCAAAACCAACTCACACCCCCCCTCCTCCTTCTCCCCGCCTCACTCCGCAACGCCATCTACACACAAATAGGCCGATCATCTATAGTCCTCGCAGATATCCGAATCAACACGTCGACCCTAAAAATCACAATGTTCATGTACCCCCCACCCCTCCTAAGTGTCTGTAAGCAAATCCGCCACGAAGCCACCGCACCCTTCTACACTTCCTCGACAATGTATCCAAGTTTCCTGAACTCACGCTGGCTACCGCAGAGCCTCAAGCCCAAGGTCTTTAGTCTCATCACCTCGCTCAGGATCTCGGATGAATTTACTAAGGTCATTAAGAGGAGCTATAGGTATCCGCGTGGAGCCCGTTTACCTGAGATTTGCGCGCCGAAGTTGGAGACCCTAGGGTGTATGTTAATGAGTGATTGAGGGAATGGGAGGACGCCCGCAAGGTGTTGAAGGTGTGGTTTAGGGTTGAGGAAGTCTGTTTTGAGAGGTTGGGGGAGACGGAGGACGAGTATGACGAGGCTGTTGAATCACTTTTTTCGCTTCGGCGGATTTCGGTGGAGCGCTGAAAGCTGGCTTTGATAGACGGCGATTCGGGGCTGCTCATTTGGGTGTGGCGTTACTGAAGCAAGTCAGCTGAACTGTGGTCTGAACGGTGTCTTGTACAGTGTGGAGAGGATATGAACATCTGTTGAAGATTGGTATATAACGTCGGACGCGCTAGCAACATCCCATCCCTCTCTACCCTTCCCACCCCACCCCTCCACCCTCCACACACATATTCACAACCCAAACTGACTCTCCACCTCCCTCCTCTTCTGCTCCCTCTCCATCTCCTGGCGAATCCTCTCCACCTCCTCCGTCATGCCCTTCTCGCCCTTCTTGCGCTGCCTCTCCTCATACAGCGCTCTCCCTTTCATGATCCTTGCCACAATCTCCGCGGCGTTTACGTTTTGGAAGTCGTGGTTAGCGATTTCGCGGTATATGTTGAGGGCCTTGGGGACGGCGTAGGGGTCGAAGGCGAGGGGCATGAAGGTGGTTTTGCCGTGGTAGACGGTGAGGGGTTGGGCGTAGGGGAGCGTGTGCAGGAAGGCTTTGGAGAGGGAGAAGGGGGCGCCGAAGATGGCTGCGTGGACGTACTAAGCATCAGACATTAGTTCCTGTGTTAAGTGAAGGTCAGGAGGAGACGTACTTTGCACTGCAGGACGCAGAGGCCGCGCTCGAAGATATTCATGATGGGGTAGTTTATGCCTTTCCAGTGGTTGATGACTTCGTCGTCGTGGATGCCGGCGATGAGGAAGATGGGGCCGTAGTCCTCACCGGACTTTTCTATGCGCGCTGCCTTTGCTTCGTCGGTGTACCAGCCGCCCTCCTTGGCGCTTTCTTCTTCGGACTGTGTGACGAGGCGGAGGAACTCGATATGGCCTGAGGAGAAGAGATCCCAGCCTCCGTCGACATAGATGACCTTCTGGCCGGGCTTGACGCCCTTGCCCTTGACCAACTCGTGGAACTTGCCCTTTTCTTCCTTGACGGGTCCGAGGGCTGAGGCGGTCGAGGCCTGGCGGACGGTGCCGGGACGCGGCGCAGTGGGTGAGGTCGGCGAGGTTACGGTGTTGCTGGTTGTTGTCCTCCGTAGCTTGACGGGTCGCGAAGCATGCCAGTACCACACGTCGCAGCCGGGCGCGCGACCTGAGGCGTCGGTCGCATAGTCTTTGATGCGCTGGAGCATCTCTTCTCCCGTCTTCAACCGCTCTTTCTCGTCGCCCGGGCCCTCGTCTCCGGACAGCCTCTTTTCCAGCGATGGTATAAAGTGCGACTTGGTGCACAGCAACATGCGGCCCACGAGGTCGGTTGTCGAGATGCCGGGCGTGCGCTTAACCACCTTGAACCTCCCCGCTGCCTTGACATAGCGGTAGCAGTCCTTTCCGTCGCTGTCGGAGGTGATGTCATCGCCGTGGACGACGTACTGGCAGCCGTAGTGGGTGATCCAGGGCAGCGAGGTTACGTAGGGCGCCCTCGGGACGGCTTTGGTAGCCCATCGGCAGGCTTCGACGGCGGCGACACTGGAATCGTTAGCTTTCAAGGCGGCGCATCCGTCATGGCAGTGCGCACCGTTCGTCGAGGCGCATCACCGTGGGGCCCTTGTTCTCCATGATGGACTCATCCGAGTGCACACCGACGAACAGCTCGTTGCCCAGCTGGCGCGCCTGCAGCATGGCGCCCGCGTGGCCTGGTCTCTGTAAGCGCTGGATACCTCGAATGCGGCAGTCGGCATACCGTGGTGAGCAAAGTCGAAACAGCCATCGACCCATATGCGCTCGTCCGAAACCTCGACGTCTTCCTGAGGATCCACGGGCCACTGTCCCTCTGAGGGAATCCACTCTCCCTGTGTTTCGTCAGTTGTTTGCGCAGCCTCGGCGTGGGTGGGTGGTGTGTACTCGTGCGCTCTGTCTGCGCTGCATCGTGACGTGGGGTAGTTGGCGGGGCTGGCAGCAACAGTACTCGGACAACAGCACAGGCTGGTAGCAATAGTATGGCAGAGAGTCGGACGGTGTCGAGTCTGAACCGTGGGACTGGAAAGCTTGGAAGCTTGGAGCTTGGAAGCAGCACCTGCCACTCTGGATTCAGCCTAACGTGCTGATAGCCGCACGTGGTCAAATGGCATAGTCAGTGAAGCTATGGCAATGTAGGCGACAGGGGCAGAGGCGGTGGGCAGGGATGGGCCTCGGGCGGCTTGTTCCTGCGTCGGGATAGGTTCTCACGGTATCAGCTGTAGCCGCGAATCGAAACACGTTTTCGTTTTGCGCGCCAGTATCTGCTTTATAGCGTGCAGTCCCGTCTGCGTGTCTCCTCACCTACATTCTAACGAAGAGACCATAGTATATTTACAAGTAGGTATAGCAATGCGGCAATGTTATCAGGGTCCGTGGTGAAACAGCCCCTGATCGCTCGGTAGCCCCACCCGTCTGGAAAGCACATGGGCTACCAGCAAGCATGGCCGACAACTCCAGCCAGGGCCTCTTCTCCCGCCGCCCCTCGTTTTTCGGCGGCAAGACCAAGGGACAAGGACACAAGCAAACAAACTCGACCCTCGCGCCGCCCCAACTCAACATCACCCCCGCGGCCAACCCCGGGCTAAAGACACCCCCTCTCCAACTCGACCAATACGAGTTTCCCGCCCGACTCGCAGCGACGCCACCACGACGCAGGCACGCCAGCAGCAGGCACAGCATCGCCTCGTCCGTCACCGATCTCGGGTCCACGCTGCGGAGGTCACGGTCCGCCTCGCTTCGCACCAACGCGTCGGCCTCGTCCTCGCATAAGAGGACCCCCTCGGCCACCCTGGCCCTCACCTACTCCCCCGAGAAGGCCCCCGTGCCCGCCAGTGTGACGAATGCCTCGCGGCCCGCCCTCTCCATATCCACCTTTTCGCGCAGCAAGCAAAAAAGCAGCGAGAACGTCAAGACCGAGGGTGGCAGTGTCCAACAACCCCAGGCCCAGGTCTACGAGAAGAGCCCCCTCAGCGCCGTCGACAAGCCCAAGACTCCCTTCGCCAACATGGCTGTCCCCATCCCGCTGCGCCATCCCCCCTCCCAGAAGGAGATCCTCCAGGCAAACCAGCAGTCCAACCGCACGTTAGCTCCTGCCGCGCCCATCCCCGTCCCCAACGGCTCCAACCCCAACCTCGTCTTCCAGCACATCCACGAGCTTGCCTCAAAGCGCATATCCACCCTCGACTACCTGCGGAAGGCGTAAGTCCTCTCCCCTCCTACATTGTCACTACAACTAACACCCCCCAGCCACGAAGGCCGCATCTACTGGTTCAACACGCTCCTCTTCTCCAAAACAGACCTCACGCGCCTCCCCTCCTTCACAACGCGCAACCAAGCCCGGCGCGCAACCCACTACCTCCTCCTCGGCTTCTCGCTCCCCACCATCCTCGACCTAAACGCCAATTCCCCGTCCGACTACCTCAAAGCCCTCAACGCCCTGCTCCTAGAATTCGAACAATACCAATCCATCCACCCGGCCGACGGCTCCACCCCCTCCTCCCTCTCCCGCGCCCGCCTCCCCCAGATGTTCAAGCGCGCAAACATGGGCATGGGAATGGGAATGGGCATGTCAATGGGCAGTAAAGGCCGGCGGTCCAGCAGCGCGAACGGCGATTTCCCGCTCCTCACTCCAAGCAATAGTTTTACTGGCTCGGAAACAAGCGGAGGTATGGGCGGCGGCTTTGACTCCCCGCCTACAACAGACGATTCCTTGCTTCCGAATGAAAGCTACACGCATCTCCAGACTCCGAGTTTACCCTTCGACCCCGATTTCTTCAGCACGTTTGCTACGCTTTGCGATGTCTTGATTGATTGTTATACGAAGATACTGAGTATGCTTAGTACGCCTGAGAGTGTGGCGAGTGCGGGCGGTGGAGTGCCTAGTTTGGTGGGGGATTTGTTTAATAAGGCGGATGCAAGGGTGAGGAAGATTATTCTTGCGGGGGTTGTGCGCGAGTTTGAGGATAGTTGTCGGGCGGGGCTTAAGAGTGAGGTTGGGGGTGTGGGCAAGGTTGTTCTTGGGGGGTTGATGTAAGAAACATATTGGTGGGGGAATGGGCAGATGATGATTTATGTGGCGGGCATTATGATCTGGGCATTTTATGATATCCAACAAGGTACACGGATGGGCGTTTTCTTTCTTTCTTCCTTTTTTGGTAGTCTACTTCCTTCTTGCATGGAGATGGAGTTGGACATTTAGAATATACGGTAGCATATGGCATGGTTATAGCATAGCATGAGAAGACCAGATAGGGATATACGCTGGATAGCGTACCTCCTCTGGGGCTTCTACAGCACAACGAATGTGCCTCCAATAAACTAATGCCAACACACCCACCTTCATTCTCACTCAACCCCATGCTAAAACATGGGAACCTCCTGCCTCACCACCTCCACATCCCAGAACGTATCTCCAGATAAATCTCAGTAATGGCAACCCCTGTCTCCTAAGCAGCAGCCGCCTCATTCTTCTCCACAAGATCCACAACACCCTTGCCCCTACCCACCTTGACCTTTGTTTTCTTCGCGGGCTTCTTCTCCTGTATCAATTGTTAGCACACATCTCACATCCCATCTACCACCACCCCCTCCCTCCCTCCCTTCCCCCAAACAATCACCAAATCCACATACCTTAACCCCCTCACTCCCAACCGCATCCCCCTCATCAACCCCCTCACTCCCAAAAATCTCCTCCTCCTCATCCCTCAACTGCTCCTTCAACTCCGCCAGCTCAATCCTCATACTATACGCATCCTCACCATCAGCATAGTATTTCGCTTCGATCTTGTCGACGGTGAAACCGAGGGTTTCGCGGTAGAGATGCAGGGCTGCGTTGTTGGAGACGCGGACGTGTAGGGAGACGTAGTGCGCGTTGAAGGTTTCGGCCATGGCGCGTTGGGATTGGCGCATTAGTTTCTCGGCGAGTCCGAGACGGCGATGGGTGCGCATTACGGATAACGAAGTGATGTGGCCGTGTTGGACACCATCGGTGGGCTCTTCCTCCATTTTGGCGAGGACATAGCCGACGATTTTGGGGGGGTCGTAGGGGGTTTTGGGGGGGCGGGATACCTGAGAGGCTGTTAGTAACGTGCAAAACGTATCAATGTGTGATCCAATATCGAAAGGACAAGGAACAGCAGATCGTCACGTGTTATACGTAAACGACTCCCCGTTGCTCAACCATTATTTCATAAACAAGCCTCGCAGCTTCTCATCCGATAATCCCTCCTCTTCACACTAGTTCCCAGCTCTTCCCCAAACACAAACACAAACATAAACACAAGAAACTTACATCAACAGCCACATAGCTCAACTGCGGCCAACTCATCGCATGATACAGATAGTACTTGCAAAAGTAGTTCTCAGGCAAATTCGTAATATTCGCAAGCTGGACATGCGGAATGTCCGATGGGCGTAGGACGCGGATATCCATTTTCGTGTGGATGTGTGTGGTGTGTGTGTTGTGTGGTTCCTAGCTCTTTCTTCTGTAATACCGACTTTGCGTTAACTTTCGTCAATGGTCGCGGAAGGGCCTGTGGAATCGGATTGGATCCGGGGTGACTGGGTGTCAGAGCGCTAATGCGAATGCGGATGGAGGGATGAGCGATGGGGCTGGGAAATCTGGACTCTGGAAGGCGGTTTGGTGAGGAATGAGGGCGAGTGCGTTATGTAAGCAGGACTTGTGGGGTCGGGGATTGGACTAGCGCGGGGCTAAACGCCGACGCAACCCTCTTTCTCTTTACGAAGAAAGCCCAAGAACTCCTTTGGAAACATGACATTAAGCGACTTCGCCTCAAGCTCAATTCCCATCACCCGTCATACGCTATAATTCCATCCCGTACAAACCATCAAACAACCACCACCCCATCCTCACCCACGCGCCTCCCCACAACATGCAAATCCGGCAGCCCAAACGCATCCCTCACCTTCTCTTTTGCCTGAGCGTCCGTCAAGTTTACCTTTAGACGCCAGACTTCTATCTCCAATAGTTTCAATGAAGCAAACCATTCCTTCAGATATGCACCCTTCATTTCATCCTGTCCCTCGATGACAGCCCGCCCATTCCCCCGCGTCAGCCACAACCTCTCGATCCTTCCGAAGCCTGCTGCCGGTAGATTTGACGAGGAGAAGAAGCGGAGGGCGAAGTAACTAGGAACGAAGGTGCAGAGCGTGAAGGAGAGAGCAGAGGCTTCGATGTAGATCTGGCGGCAGGTGTAGAGGACCGCGCGGACACTGCGGTATCTGCGCATGTCCTTTTTGACAAGTGGTTTGTTGACCTTGATGATGGCGCCGTTGAAAATGTAGTTGTAGATGCCGTTGCGGAGTTCGGCGGGGAGGAGGAGGAGAGGTGAGTCTGTCTGGTTTCTCTTGGTGCTGCGAGGTATCAGACACAAAGTCTGCGCTTATTGCGTGGCACGCTTACATCTCATTCCTATTGTATGGCAGCGGAACTACAAGACGCATGTTGTTGCTTTGTCTGTCGTAGTCGTTGTTGAAGACGTCGTCGACGTCGCGGAGGTCTTCGTCGCGGTCGTCTTTTTGGTCGGGCGGTAAGATGCCAGGCTTCATGGAACCTAAGTCGGAAAGGCGAAGCATCGTAAAGGTGTGGGCAACGCGACGCCGGTTTTGTGATTCAAGGTCGGTGATGGGAGAGACGATCGGTAGTCGGTAGGCAAGCTGTCAGTCAATGCCGGCCGCGACGCTAGCACAGGGTCTGCATGAAGACAAACGGTGATGGTGACTGCAACTTTGCGCTAACTACATGAGGCTGCATCTCGAAGACGAGGTGACGTCCTCGCGACCCGAGACTGCCTGAAGACACGAGCCATCTCCTTGTCTCATACCGAATCTACCACCACTCCTATCTACCTGACATCGATCACACGGACAAACATATACTTTCGAAACCCACGTAGCCTTCTCACATCCCCATTTCTTCCCCATTATCCCAGCAAGTCTCTGTAGTGTTTGCGTGTTTCCCTTGTGATAATATTCATGATATTCAGCAGATACCCTCACGTAAACGTACTCCACTCGTGGAAGCTTATACCGCCCCTCGTATTGCTCAAGCAATTCAAGCGTAGAGAACAGCATGGCAATCGACGTGATGAGTTCCCTCTTTTCACGCCCAATGTGTCCCAGGAAACGATGGAAGTCATATCGCGCATAATTGAAGCCGAAAGTTGTGTGGGAAAAGAAGAGAGACTCGGCTTCAGACCGGGTCTGACGACATGTTCGGATGAGTGAGACGGTGGGGGACATGGGTCGGCCCGAGCTTGTTCGAGCGGGTATTGAGCCAGTCCGCCGGTCCAGTAGTGGTTCAATGGAAGAGTCGGCGAGAGAGTATCCGTATATTTTGTTGCGCAACTCGCCTGGGAGGCGCAGCAATGGTGAGTTCTTGGCATTGGCTTCTGTGCTGTGCATGTCAGCGGGTCCGGCGAACATTTGCAGCGACAGTTCCAGAGACAGAACTTACATAAGGTCGTGCTTGTCGACGGCCTCCTCGGGGATGGAAGGCAGAGTTGCGACGTAATTCATCCTGTGTCCGTCCATTTGAGTTTGGGGATTTCTCTGGTGGAAGTCGGTTGATAGCTGGTTGGTTGTACTGGACTGTGATAGCAGCTAGAACTAATGGGCGATGGGTATATAGGTCGAGCTGTGAATGTCAGGACTCCAGCGAGCTATTGCCTACCGACCCACAACCAAGGCTGTAGTCGTGAACGCTTATCCTAACCGAGTCAGCTCACCACATTACTCCCAATCACTCAACAATACCCTCGAATTCCAAGAAACAAGCCATAACTTTCGTATATATCCAAAGAGCTTCGAACCGAAATAATATGTACGTGAACAAATATGTTACCAAATCGTGCATTCAACCCCATATTTCCCTTCGTAAATGCAAAAGACATAATCTCAAAAACGCCAACGAGATGCCCTTGTTGCTTATACTCCGTTTGCCAGATGCGTAGTTCGAATTTTTAGAAACCTCTTTCTTGGCTGAGGATCTCGTCAACCATGGGTTTCACGGTAGGCATGTAGCCTTGCATGACTGGGCACCAGAGGGCCTTCTTCAGCCCCAGTTCTGTGGCCATGTAGTACATCAGTCGGTTAATCCATTCTCGCCTTGCCGCAATGTCTATTCTCCTGGGCTCTACCCCGTGGTCGAGTGGAGGTAGGTCTAGCGGGTGATCGTACGGGTGCGCAGGGTTGGGGTCGAAGATGTGATTCTTTTTTGCGTTTTGGTCCAAGAGCGGGGTGTTCGATGGCGGACTCGCGCCAGGAGATTGGCCGCTTTCCGACTTGGTCCGAATGTTACGGAGTTCGGAAAATGCCGGTGCTGCCTCGTAGGATTCCAGAGCCGTCGACGGCTCGCTTGAGGAAGACGCGTTGGAAGTGGATGTAGCCAGATGTGGTTGCGAGTGAACTGGCGGTGGTGTTGGCAGGTGAGTAGCGCTGTGCGGACGCTTGCCTGCATTGCTATCCGGCACAAGACCTGAGCTGAGTACTGAATCCATCGTACCCAGAGGCCATATGCAGATATAGCCCCGCATACCACATATGTCGGTGGCAGATTTCGTATCTATCGGTACAGTAAAGCTGCCAAGTATGGAAGAACAGTTCTTCTCGATGACCTCGACTAGGCGGGCGGTAGCGACCGAGTGATGCATGCGGAGATTTGCATTACTCAGAGCAGTAGGCATAGACTGACCCGGGGCTTCTTGAGGACGGAAAGATAGGCAAGGGTCCCGGAATCTCAACATCCAATTCAACATCTCGAGCAGATCACGTAGAACAAGTATGCGGCTCGTACGGTAGAAGCCCCAGATCCAGACGCGTTTCAAGCTCGGGTATATGTGAATCTCTTCCGGTGCGCCCGGACAACCCAAGAAGAGCTTTTGTAACTTGGCATCGTAGGTCGACCGAGCCTCTGGTGTGTTGGGTGTCATGTGGTAGTTCCATGCCGGTGTAACGTTCGCCTCCCAAGCTTCGTAGTCGCTTTCTAGTTCGAGCGCGCTCTGTAGAAGTTCTTGCAAGGCCATGCGGTTGGTTGGTGGATTTGGACTTTGCTTGGTTTCGTGCCATCTGGCATGTAGCATTGCCGCTCGCCATATTAGACGAATGACAAAGGCGTTGGAGTTCTTGTATAAACTTGGAAGTAACTCGTCTACTTTGACCACATCTCTCGTAGGTATTTGCGGGCGTCTTGCTGCCTGTAAGTTGCCTAATAGCTGTCGCAAGGTTAGCCATCAGCGGAAAAAAGGTGTTCATCTGTGAGGGCGATTACCAGATGTGCATAGATGACTTCGTAAAGTCTGGCAGATATGATGTCGCTGTAGAACTCCTCAACCGTCCGCAATTGAAGCATAGCATTTGCGCCTTGGTTGTGAGCCAGAAAAGTGCCTTTCCGCTGCACGCTGGTAAGATTCTGTTCATCACGTTAGATTTTGTGCATACCATCAAGATGCAACGAACGGACGTACCTCGTAGATTCCCATCAGATGTACCGAGCAAAGTGCAGTATTCGTGGCTGCCTGCTTCTTGTCCGCAATTGCCCTTGTCAACATCGGCAGGGCCCTCCCTACGCATTCCTCACCAAGTGCCTGCGCATGAGAATCATTATAACGATTGGCGAAGTTGACGTAAGATACTGCGTCAACCGCTGTCGCGATCAATGAGTTCTCCGGGGCGTCTTGATACAAGAGCGGGATAAATGTCCACAGGGCTTCATCTGGCTGGTCGGCTGGTCGGTTCGGAGAGTCGGGCAGCACAAAGTCGTACACGAACCGCTCAAAAGCTCTTCTACGGAAATCCGGATTAAGCGACGGAGTGATAGTCAGCCGACTTAGATCGATGGTTGCGGACGCAACGCTTGATGATTCTTGAGCCGGGTCATCCACAGAGCCACCAGGAGAGTGTACACTACCGCTGGACGAGCGCGTGTCATCCAGATGGGGTGGTGTTGACTCGTCGCTTGGTGGCGTTTTGATATAAGTGTTATTATAGGTGTTGCTGTAGGCGTTGCTACTTTCGGCAACGGTAGCACGTTGGTTTGACTTTGATCGCTTCCGCCATGACTCTTCTGCTCTTTGCGCAGCCGATGCCGTTTGGTTGCGAAAGAGGATGTCGGCTTGGTCTCGATATTTGCATTCATGGCCTGCCTTGCTACATCGACTGCAAGCTGGCCTACCCTCATCGCACTACTCTGGCATCAGCCTTGTGCGCATGGCCGTCGTTGCCCTGCGCGTGTTGCAGCATGAAGAGCAGGGCAATTCGCGGAGGTGGACAGAAAGAAGCGTACCTTGACTTTACGGGCTCTGCAAGCCTCGCATCCCTTACTGGGTCGGCCACGATAGGACATGCTTATGCTCTGGAGGCGATGAGGCGGTAAGACGAAAGGGCGGCAAGCTCCGCAGTCGCTGCTGTTCAGGCTCAGGTAAGGTTCCTACGAAGCAAACACTAGCGCGGGCATCCGATTGCACAGAACAAAGAACGTCAAGTCTAATAACTATGTCTCCTCTCCGGTCCGCGAATGTGCTGCGTGGTCATCCGAAGGGTCCTGAGCCAGAAAAGGCGTAGCGGCGATCAGGCTGAAACCCAGGCCACGCTTTTACGAGCTTGGAATGGAGCGCCCGGTGACTGGCGGAAGATGGACCATAAGGGTTGAATGGCAGAGATCGAAGGGCATGGGGTCAGGCCCGGTGCTCGGGAAAACGGTGCTGCATAGTGGGTTGATGTGCCGTAGACTGCATAACTGCGTCACAAGCGACAGGCATCTCTCGTTGCTGACTCAGGACTTAGTGGTGTCTTGGCGCGCAGCGGCCTCCCGCTTGCCGACTGCGACGATGCTGCAACACCAGACGAGGCGTTCAACTCCATGCATGTTTCGCGGCACAGCCAGATAAGATTCAGACTTCTTAGTGTCGAGATTTCTACTCCTTCTGGTGTATCTATCCCCTCATCTATTCTGGACTCCAGTATTAGTCTGCAAGGTCGATGCAGGCCGCCTACTTTCGGAGCGCCTCAAATACGCCGACCAACAACTCCCGATACGCACCCGATCATCGCGAACACGCGATGCCAATGTTTCAACGGTCGTCTAGCAGGGAAAGATGGCATGTCAATTTCAACGGCTCCAGCGTTCGGAGGCCTAAAACCATGACATCAACTTGTCATTGGGCGTTGGCAGCAATCAGTAATCGGGCCTCTTCCAACGGGCGACTAGTAAGATTGACTGGACCGCTCCGCGAATTTAAGGTTTGGAAATCACTATGAATTGCGGAGTATTCACCCAAGTCTCTAGACAGCTCGCCTCTACTATGACGCGCCAATGCGCTTGTGTCTTGAACATTGCGAAGTTTTCTCACCGGTGCCGGAAGCATAAAGGGGTAACCGCATACACTTGGAGACTTTGTTTCACGCTACCCCGAGTTTCAATTTCGTCCACATTAACATCTGACAGGTGTCCGCACCAAAACCACAGGAGTAGCGAAGTCAACACTACGCACATGCACAGACAGTAATTTTCAACGACAACATGCGCTCATGCTATAGCTTCGCCAACAGGTGCCGACCACCATCCTCACTTCCCAACACAATCTCCTCGCTGCGCCAGTCCGGATTGAACGTTACCTTGTTCAGCGGATTTCTGCGATGCGCCATGTCGAAAAGTTCCTCATATACCCTACCGTCATTTCTGCCCAACGCACTGTTCAACAGCCAATCTGGTATCGACCAGGCGTCCACCAGCTTCACCGCATGTGGTCTCAATTCGGCCATAAGGTCGATGATCCCATCCTGCAAGGCAAAGACTGATTCGGGCGGCACGGCGGCCGTCATTGTAAATGAGGAGGCAAATTGGTCGAGGGTGTAAAGCGCGTACAGCCGGAAGCATGCCCGTAAACTAGGCGATGCGGACGGAGGTATGGAGCCGAAGCTGTTGTAGAAGTTCGTGGTGAGGATCTGCTCTGAGTATGCGCGGCTGAGGTTATGGAGTTGGATCATCAGACGTGTCCACGGTTTTTTCTCAACAGTACGTGCTTGATAAGCGCGGTAGGAAAGATCAGCCGCGCGCCACTGGAACACGTCGACTATACCTTGGTCGTCTACAACCCCGTCTTTCAAGACGTTTTGCGGTAAGCGATGGTCTTTGTTGCGAAGATAAAACTGGAAGAGCTCGTCCGTTGGATCCTTGGCCGGTGAGTCTGGGTCTTTGACCGCGTTCGACATCTTTTTGATGAGATACGCAGCAACCTGCTGTGTGATCATCCAGTTGTCGCCCTCGACAGTTGGCTTGGAGAGGTAGTCACCATTCAATCCTACCAGTCCGCTTCCACCACCGAAGCCATGGCCGCCCATTGCGCGTCGACAGGTCTCGATGCCATCCGCAGCAAGCGTCGTACACAGGCTCTTCAGTCCTGAGCTTGCGCTGTGCAACTCCGCCAAGGGTCCAAAATCGCCTTTCTCGACATCTCCTCTCGACTTGTGGTACAGCTTGTACATGTACTCGCCAGTATAATGCAACGCGAAAGTAGTCGCAAGCAACGGCAAGA